TATGCAAACCTTTACAGTAAACACATGCTCGCTTTGCTGTGGTTGATGGTACATGACGGGGCTTGTATGTCGAGTTTTTTGATTGTCCAATGGCAAATGCTGCTGTAGGTGGGTCTGGACAAATTTCATTTGGGTGTTGCTTAGAGGGGTTATTTTCGCCTACTTCTAATATGTCGATTTCTCTGCGTATTGCCTTTCGGAGCTCATCTAGTTTCCATTCATTAGTGTTGTGTTCTCTCGTAAGTGTTTTTATCAAGTCTGCTGGCAATTTCTTATGGATTATAGGAATCAAAATGTCCCCATATGAATCGTGTGATTTTCCCAACGCTTCGAGTGCACGGATATGTGTTTCCAATGTGTGGTAGAAACTCTTTAGACTAGACAAGGTACTTGTCGGGCTTGGTATGTTTAATAATGCTTGCATGTGTGCACTCACTGCTCTGTGTTGTTGACCAAATCTCTCTTGTAATAGTTTGATACTCTCTAGATAGTTATTTTCAGTTAAAGGAAATCCAGCGATTGACCTTGATGCTTCCCCAATTAACTGGGCTCTTAAATAGTTCAGTTTCTGTATGTTGCTTAGATACGGGTTATCGTGTACTGCTGTGCGGAAGGAATCCCAGAACGTTTGCCAATTCAAGGGGTTGCCGTCAAAGGTTGGTAGTGCTAACTTTGGGAGTCGACTCATGCTGTAACTACTGTTCGAAATGGTGGGGTTTGTACTTGTAACTGACGTACTTGTAGTGGGTTGCTGGTTTAAATTGACAGGTAAATTTTCACTTACTGTGCTTGATTGTGGTTGTGTCTCTTCTGGTGTTGATGGTTGATTTCCTGCTGGTTCACTCTCACTGCTTGTTGCCTGGTTGCTTTCTGGCGTTTGTTGAATATTGTTACTCGCTCCTGTTGCTTGGTCGTGCTGACTTATGTTCATGGACTTGATTTTGTTCTCGATAAAATTTTTAGTTGTACAAATTGTCTCTGCGATAAAACTCTGTGTGTCTTCTGCCTCGATAATATCTGCTTCCAAATCTTCAGGTTTTGTGAATAGTTCAAATATCTTATTGTCTAGTTCTGATAGTACCTGTCCTTTCCGTTGGAGTTGCTCTAAATAACTGCCAAGTGTCACAATAGCATGCTGTTCATTTTGATCGTCTTCTACTTCTTTTAGTTCCGTAATTTTCTTCAAAACTTTCGTTAAATGTGCTCTGTGTGCTCTCCGTGATGCTATTAGACGTTGTTGTTCTTCCATCCTGGTCACGGCACCATAATTTCAAGTATTTATTGGTATATTGTTACGATTAATACAGGTTCTTTCGATAATATAAAGCGTGGAATAACAACAACATGGCGTCCATGAAAAAGGGCGCGAAAACAGTCAATACTTCATGTTATCAATGTATAATGTTTGTCTACTTATTTACGACAATCAGAAGTGCATGTCACATTTCAAGGTGAAATTTCTGTCTCCTTTTTAATTAAAGCATTTATTTCTCTCCCATTTACTTCAGCAGTTACTTTTTATAAAATCCAGTGACATAACAGGGAAGCTGGGGATTGTCCAAGAAAAAGTTTTTGTGATAGTTCTAGTACTGTATCCTGACCTGAGCTATGAGCATCCAGCTGTTTTTCTGCCAAAGGTAGCTGAAATAATTATAAAAAGAAATTATATAATGCCTAATGCATATTTCAAACCTAAATACCCAGTATAAAGTTCCATAAATTGCTAATGATAACACCAGACTAATACCTGTAAGTACTTATACTCACGACCACTTCAGCTACGCTGTACTTAATATCGTGTTTAAATAAAAGATTATTATTATTAAACACCTCTTAGTATATCATGGGTTTATTTAATACCCATATATACCAGAGTGTACACTTGCATAGTTGCATTCTAGGTCCATGTGTAACTTTAGTTCACAGTTTGTAATAGTAAAAGTGTACTAACCATCTTTAGTAGAGGGAAATTGTTTTGTTTTTCACCATTCTTCATGTTAATATTCCCTGCTGCTAATTGATTTGCAAGATCATTTTCTAAAATACTGGGATTAACAGTTAAAGAATCCAAGATATAATAGATGTAGAAGATCGAATTGGAAAAGAAGCATGTCATACTAATTGAAAATCAGTTTCTACCAAGCAACATACTATGTATAATTGGAGCAATTTCATCCACTGAGATAGACAGTAACATACATTTACTGAAATCTTGGAGTAGGCCTGATCTGATGGCATGCTATTCCAGGAAAAATAATATTAATCAAATACATAATTAAGTCCATTAGCAGCTTTGCTCTCATGGGCCCATGGCTTCAACTTGAAAGCATGAAATTAAAGTCACAATTAAATTCATAGGAACTGGATTCAATTATAATAATCATGTACAAGGATACACCCCCAATAATCTTATAGCTCTTTGTCTGGATCTTCACTCCATGCTCTAAGTGGTTGCACGTGTAGCTTCGTAGGGTTAAAAACTGTTTGGTGCATGAACACCGACACAGCTTTGTTAAAGAGGCTTTCATAGTAATTTGAAGCACCTTTCTTCCTCAGTTCATCAAAGAGGGTGCCAGCTTTCACAAATGAAAATGCCTGGTTGATTCCAACTCCGCAAATATTTTTTAAATAATCACATCCTGCAGCCACACAACCATCAACAAACTGAGCCATTGTCACTTTTAACCCATCGAGGATGTCGTAAAAACCTCTCCATCCCCATTCAATCTGAGTTTTACAAGAATATGAAAATTAAATAGTAAGGATCCAAATCATTTTAAAGAATTAATACTACATTTTAAAGAATTAATACTACATGCAGACATCCTCATTCTTTAACCCATTGAGCAACAGTGCTCTTCCCTAGATGACTAAACTGGTAACTCGGTAACCTCTGTTAGACTGCAGAATAAAACAATATCAGGGTCTGAAATTTGCAGTATCCCGATATCCACGGGATACTGAAATTTGGTTTTGGATACTAAGTTTATTTCACTTGTATCCCGATGGGATACCACATTTTTTTAAAAATCGGGATAGCAGTTAATGTTTTACTAGTCTCGATCCCCACATTTTTGTTCATTAAATAGTGCTGTAACACAAATCATAACGTTATGTAGTCCACTCCTTGTCCCACTCATGGTTGAATTAGTGAACTATATACACAGAACTGAGGCTGACTTCAGTCAGTGACATAATCAAAAAGTGAAGCAAAAGATGGCAGATTTTGAAGGCATTCTTGCGTGTCATTCTCAGCCCCCTTATGTGTGCGGTCAAATATTTTTTATATTTTCAATTCATGGCGGGAAGTGATGGGTCCGCAACTCTCGGATTGTGTTTTTCTTTATTTTAAAAGAGCAAAAAAGGAAATTAACTTCATTTATTTCATGTAAACCTGATTTCCTTCATCTAATCGATCTGTCTACTGCATTTTCCCACTGTATGTGTGAGTAAATCTGTATTTTTCGTTGCAAATTCAACAACTAATTTCAAACTTTTTTTGTGTTTTTTTTTAATAAATCTGTATTTTTATAAATTGAGAATTTATTTTTGCTTCAGTTGTTTCGCTTTCGTGTTTATATGGTGCTTTTCAGCTTTCACACAATTACTTAGCTTATTTTAGTCTGTTTTCCTGACCTAAAACTGCAGCAACTGCTTTTTAACTGCAGTTTTCGAGGCAGTTTTTAGCAAATTTAATTCCATACATGTAAGAAAATTTTGTTTTTTTATTTTTTATTTAATAAAATCACTTTGATGATTTTTTTGCTTGCCATCATGAACTAAAAATACTCGTAAATAATTCATGCATTTCTTGTGATATTATGTTAAAATATTTAATTAAAACCACCAAAACTCCTGATGATGATACAGATTACAGGCAATGGTCTTGATGATGATACAGCCGATGAAAATTGATGATGATAATGACATTGTAGTTCCCGTAGTTCACATTTGAGTGCATACTGATAGCATTAAATATCAGTGAAGTTGACACTTAGACTGTAATAATTAAATAACCCTGTTAACTGTATATTAATTAAGTTCCTTTTAGGATTCTAGTATACAAAATGCGAAGGATGAAATTCATGAAAATGAATGCCTTAGAATGACGTTGGGTTTGGCCCTGGGATACGAAAAGCCAATTAGTTAAGTATCCAGATTTGGGATACTGGATTATCGGGAGGGATACCAAATTTTAAAACCTTGGTATCCATGTGGATACTTAAAAAAAAATCAAATTTCAGACCCTGAATATAAAGTAGGGCACCTTGGGGCAAGAGTGCATTGCCATTGGGGCAAAATGCATGCAAAGCAACTCTCTTTAATATGCATCTGCCGATTCTGCCTTGTAATTACTTGCATGTAAGGGGGTGTTTATACGGAGGCAAGATAGCCTGGGCACCGAGGCTAGTTTGTGTGGACCAGCCCGGTTACATATAAATACAAGATTAATATTAGTATAATAACATTGCGACATTAGATATCTGCAAAGTGAACTAGCTCATGTACCTGGGCTTGTTCACCTCCATATAAACACCCACTAAGATGGAATCCCACTCTAAATTGATATATTTTTGTGACCTACTGGCAAATAGTCTGAGTAACTGCCCAAAGGATGATGTAAATTAATATATGTTGTAAGTATGTGTGCATAAAATTGTGGTCTTTAATTTATACAAACCTCCTTACAACCATACACCAGCAGATCTGAGTCTTCTGTTATTGCAAAGTCTGCATAACCTTGCTTCACCAAAAATGCAAGTTGAGCATCTGACTCATACCATACATGTCCAATACTGTTGACATGATACGGATCGTGAAGCAGCTTCACGATCCGTCAAATTCGTACGGACGGTAAACACGAGTCACGATCCGTATCAACTGGTAAACGCAATAGGTGGTCTCCAATAGCAGATGCTTGTTGCCCAGATCTACCAACAGTTCGACGGATCATACCGTTCGTACGGCTCGTAACACGATTCACGATCCGACAAATCCGTATGGTCCGTACGAACTGTGAAATGGCTTTACGGACCGTACGAAGCGTACGGTTTGTGAAAATGATTTACAGATTGTGAACCTATAATAACTTCAAACATTATAATATGCTGTTTGCAGTTTATCAATATAATATGTTGTTGCTCCGTTCTTACGAAACCGCGCATATACTGTATCAATATGATGTTGTTGCTCCGTTCTTAAAAAAACACGCAATATATCAATATCAGTAATATTGTTGCTCCATTCTTACGAAACCACGCAAACAATATCAGTAATATATATTGTTGCTCCGTTCTTAAAGAAACCACGCAATATATCAATATAATATGTTGTTGCTCTGTTCTTAACAAACTATGCAATTTATCAGTATAATATGTTGTTGCTCCGTTCTTAAGAAACCACGCAATATATCAATATTATATTTTGTTGCTCCGTTCTTAAAGAAACAGCGCAATTTATCAGTATAATATGCTGTTGCTCCGTTCTTAAGAAACCACGCAATATATCAATATAATATGTTGTTGCTCCGTTCTTAAGAAACCATGCAATACAGGGTGTATCACAATACCTGCAAACACTATATAATTTGCATAATTCTACTGCTTACTAGCATTTCAATGTACAGGGTGAGTAAAAAAACTGACACCTTTGTTATTCAAATTAGCTGCAAAGGTATCAGGTTTTTTTACTCACCCTGTATGTGCTATTTATTTTGCTCCTGCATGAGATTTGAACTGCCCATCTAACTTAATTAACAGCGTTGCTAGAAATTACTATATGTATACGCTTGGGATCAAATAGTTCTGAATCCTGCAAATTCTAAAAACATTGTATTTCAATGGGTTAGTTAGCAGGTTTTTTGATACACCCTATATATATCAATATAATATACCTTCTCTTATACATTGCTTTAATTAGGTGCAGCGGTGAGAATATATGAGATTTCGACAAGCAATTTTTATCGGACTCGGATAATTATTATTTGCTCATTCTCTACATGGTGCATCAAAAAAGATAATCCAACTTTAGCGCGCTATTGCACCTGTGTATGAACGAGATTCGTATTCAGGCATTTTTTAACTATATAAACTCTTTTGTCAGAAAGTTGTCCCATCTTTTGCTGTCAGGTTATGAAGATGTCCCATCTTTTCTTAACCAGTGGAAGCTTAAAATGAGTCTTATATTATTCTTTACCCCACAACGCAGGCACGGGCGTAAATTCCGTAAAATAGTTAAGACAATGGGGTCAATGCAGCGATTGTTTTTGGAATAATATGTAGATATATCTTGGTGATTATGGTGAAAACGTTTGTGCCAGATTCATGTGCGCACTATGGCCTAGGGAAAGGCGGTATACGTGTATAAGCCACTGAAGCCGCCGCACTTTTTATACTGCCCGGATCTATAACGACGGCAAATAAGTTTCGACGTTTCGATATGGAATTATCATGCCATACTTTGAACATAAACAAAATCTAGGTTGAATATATTATTCACGCTATTCTCTAACAGAAATTATTCACGCTATGCATAACAGAAAATTAACTTATTACTTGCTTGCTTTCACACTGCGTTTAAGCAACTGAACCTGGATTGATGACATCTTATAGCGGCAATTAATAATGCGATTAGCGTTGCTCATTTCCTGAAGTTGCAAACTCAGTATGCAAATCCCGCTGTTTTTCAAAACGGCGGCAAGTAATTAATTAACACACAAATTCATGCTAAAGTTGGCTTGCGTTTTTAGACACACTGTATATCAGCCAATATTTATACACAAATATTCCAGATATTCCCTGAAATTTAGCATGTAATAAGGCAGGCCTCAATTCCTGATTCATAACCACCCTTAGCTGCAGCCTTAGAAAAAATTATGCCCGCAAAAACTTTTCGCACGTGGAAATTTTTCATCCATACGTTTTAAAATTTGTCTGTTCATATAATTACACGCAATTATTAGATAAATGTGCATAAAACCAAGTGTAAACTGGATGTTATATACCGCACATTTGAATGCTATACCTATCAAATATCTTTTTGGCAGACGGCAGGTGCCAAACAGAATCATCCAGCATTACAATGTCATTGTCATTGACATAATATTGTCATTTAATACTTTGGTATACGCTTTTTTTCGCCTTATAACATAGTCTCATTCACAAACGCCACTATTGTTCTGTCCGCAGTTTTAGGACACAGCCACACGTCAGTTATTCCACAACGGGAAAACCACTTCTAATCATCTACAATCTGACAAGAATATATTTTCGACATGGCAAACTGTATACGACGCCATCAATTATTTAATTATTGCCTTGACCGAGTTAAAGATTGGGCACGAAAAGTACGATCGGTAAAGTCATTTCACAGTTCGTATGGACTGTATGGATTGTGTTCAATGTTTTACCATCTTTACGATCCGTATACGTTTGACAGTATTGGACAACCATCATTCATACGGGGAACAATACATGTCACTCCTTGACTCTGGTATACCTGAAACGAAATATTAGATGCGGTAAATTTTTGGAAAGTTACTAATAAAAGTGGATTTCTATTTACTTTAATACATACATTTTTACAAATAAAAATATTATATATACTGGGCATTTATATATAATATAAATATACTGGGCATTTATATATAATATAAATATACTGGGCATTTATTATTTCAAAAATACTTTTCCTTCGACAAGCACATAAACATGTGCATAAAAGCAAACTTCATGCAGTACCTTCACACACTCAACAACAAACATAAACACGTGCATAAAATGAAACTACATGCAGTACCTTCACACACTCAACAACATCGTAATTCATTTCTACAGACCAGCTCAGCATCTTGTTTCTATCCTCCTCATTTGTTTGCTCATCTACAGTGGCTTTCATCAACTGTTCTTGTCTCTGCCTATAGAATACAGAAACCATGAAATCAACATTTATGACAGAGCCACCAGGTTAACACGTTGTATTATATATATAATATATGTTTATCACCTTTGTCTTCAGCAGTTCTCTTTTGCTTTGGCTTCAAGTGGTTTTCCATCGAAAACTACAATAGGCGTAATCTTCGAATCGATCAGTAGTAGTAGGTACCTTTTAAATGTTTGGGAAAACCTAGATAAATAGAACTGATCAGTCTCGATGACGAAGAGAATTTCCAGTGCAAAAATATTACTGTAAATACAAAACTATTGTTTACCTTTCTCGTTTTCCTGTCTGTGATACCAATATTGCTGAACCTTTGTGTATCCAGCACGATGCATCTACTGCAGCTATGTTGACTTCCTTTGAATAGGTCTTCAAATAGGGGAAAAGACAATTGATCCCCATTAAATATTTTTAAATTTACACAACTGATTTGGTTATCAAAGGAAACCGCACTGCAGATAAGTTCACTTGACTAGCATCATATGCAAATGATTGCAAAATGCAAAATAACACCGAAATGACCAGCATGCTTTGCGGTCGTATAGCGCACACCACCTATGTATCTAGTAAATATCTCTTACGTAAGCATAATATATTGGATACCAAGGACATTTTCATTTTACTTGCGACGTATGGATATGTGATGGGACTTCACTTACAATGACTCACATATTCATGACTTTTAGTTGCAGTCTACAGGGGCAACTACAGTACACTCTAAATATGAATAAATGTGAACTTTAGGAATTTATTAGCCAGCCCTAGCCTTCCGATTTATAAAATGGGAGCTAAATTTTTGGGAGATATCTACCCTCTGTGTGTAATAGTTTTGCTCACACAGCTACTCGTGGTCATGATTCTTGAAGCGTAGCAAATCAATACTGGGGGTCCTTGCAATTTTGGGGCGGCGGGTGTGACAGCGATGGCCAAAACAAACTCCTTCAAATAAATGGTAGTAAAAATAATTTGAACTGAAACAAGGGGTAAGGTTCACATTTTAGCTGATCATGCATGTTTATTTCGCCCGAAACTGGTGATTACCTAGGTATTTTATCTTACTTATAATTCGTCATCGCTGGACGTTGAACCGACACAGGGGTAAGGTTTACATTTCAGCTGATGATATTTATTTCACTAGAAACTGGTATAATACATTATTTTATCGCCTCGGGCGACACATATTCGTCATCGGTTGGATATTGAACTGATACAGGGGTAAAGTTCACATTTCAGCTGATCATGTTTATTTCAGTGGAGGCTTGTATATAGTAAACTAAGTAATTGATAGTACTGTTATTATGTACACCAGTGCAAGTTCATTGCTTTTGACTGACAATAGCATGTGCAGTGAAACTGACATAGATTGAGGTTTCGTAGCATGTGGTATCAGTATATGTAGATATTTTTTCACGATAATCTGCAAACGGTTTGTCATGTTTGGGTGGGGTGTGTCCCCTTTATCCCAAGGAGACTTGTGGCATTAGTAATACCCCCACCTTTTCTGTGCTAAATGTTGTATAGTTATGAATTCATGATTTTTCTTGTTAATTATTAAAAATTGTTTAAAACAATAAAGCGGCTATGTGCAAACAATTGGGCACATAAGCCATAATTATGCCATAAAGGCTTTGACTGGTCTTGTAGTATTTGGCAGCACAGAAAACTGAGCTCAACCTGACAAACAGTTTGCCGATGATGGTTTAATGTATGCAAGGAAGCGATAAAGGAACTTATTGCCATAGCAAAAACCATCACCAGCCGGCAATTTTAAAAAATAAAGTAAAAAGCAAATTCCGAAAATACAGGACATCTTGAGAATTCAATATATAATTCAAAACAAGACACAGTTTGAGATATATACATATATATATATATATATGTGTATATATATATATGTATATATATATATATATATATATCTATATATATATATATATATATATATATATATATATATATATATATATATATATATATATATATATATATATATATATATATATATATATATATATATATATATATATATATATATATATATATATATATATATATGTATGTATGTATATATATATATATATATATATATATATATATATATATATATATATATATATATATATATATATATATATATATATATATATATATA